TGGTTCACACCTCTGCAAGTTATTGTTCTAGGCTCTTATCAGAGCCCGGACGCCACTGCATCCGCTGCCTTTCCACACACTTGAGATTTTCTTTGAATCTGTAATAGCTGGAAACCTCTTTAAGCTGAGGTTCTGGAGAGTTTCTGATAATGTTACACTGGCAGAGATTGACTGAAACCCTGGCGAACCTCTTGAACTGCAGATTCACCCTTAAAGGTTTAGGCAGATTAATAATACAAGAACGGCCAAACTGGCTCCTTGTTCCTCCTCCTCTGATCTCTTTCAGTAAGATGTAGGGAAATGAAATGCTGTAAAGAAAATGGCAAATAACCTGCAAGAAATACAGAGGGCAGATGGGATCCCACTGCTTTCAAGAGTCTCTTCTGAAAACAGCATAAAAGGGAAATCTGAGGTATTCCTACATCACAAGGAAAATGGGGCATTCTGTGATAACCACCATGAAAATACATGTTTTGACCATTCCAGCAATAGTAAAGCAAGTCAACCTGCCCAATTTCCCTCCTCAAACATGCAGGAAGCATCCAACAGCTGCAGTTTCTCAAATTCAAGCTCACATCCCTACCAACAAACACACAATTCCCAAAGTCCATGGAGGAGGAGCAGACCACCTGCACATGCTGTCTCCTGAATGGGAGCTCAGGATCTTCTGGCAAGATCAACTTGTCTGTACACCACAGCAGTCCCAGAGTGGAGGAGCAGGAGCCCAGAGCCAAGGAGATGGCTGTCCCCAAATCATCCACACCTTGGGATGTCCCAAACAAAGATGGCAGCGACAGATCACAGCAGCTCAGCTGAGTTTTTAAGTGGAAAATCTCAACTTCTCATAATGGCATCCTCAAATCCCAAGGTGGATGTAAATATTAGCATTACTGGCATCTCCTGGGATCTGTGCCCACTCTTCAGGTGGCAAATTTAACTTTCTTTTCACACACAGACTCATCAGTCCACAGGAGTATGACGGTGTTCATCACTCCATGCTCAGCAGGAAAAGATTTTCCAACCAGACACTGGAAGCTGCTTAGTTTACCTCAAAACATGTCAGACAACAGCCCTTTTACTACTATCCTCCAGTTCCCACTGTATTTCCCTGCCCTGGCACATGTGCAGCCCAGATAACCCTTGCCTCATGCTGACCAGGCAGGGAGCTGGGAAAACCAGGGCAGTTTTCCTGAGGGGAGAGGGAATTCCTGAAAGAATTTGGAATTTTGCAACACAGGGAAAATCTGCCTCCTGGTGCCATCCCAACTGCCAAGTCAACATCAACATTTTTCCAGAGTATCTTGTGCTGTAAATATTCAGCAGAGGAAAACAAGTGGTTTGTGTTATTGCTCAAGGAAGTCACGAGTGGGATCCTCTGCTCACCAAGAGTATCATTTACTCCTCCATCTCTGCAATAAGACAAGACTTCTGAAAACAGAGTCATCCCAGTGTGGGAACACCAGAGCTGACAGTGGAATAACAAAAAAATAATTCTGAAACTCCAAAGCTGCTGAAGACACTCAGGAGTAAAACAGTGAAAAAACTGAGTTATTCTTTAGGCCATGAACAAAAAGAGTTAAACATTTGCAATATTTCAGGCAGGAATACTGGAGGAAACTTGATCAAAACTAATCCTTAGATTTGTATACACTGAAAGAAAAACTTCAACAGCTGATACAGTACTAAGTGTACACATACATATACACACACACACACATATTCACTTAAGAGTTGGACTTTTGGGTCCCTTCCAGCCCACAATACTCTGTGATTCTGAGATTCTAATATAGATATACATATAAAAACACATATAGGTTATATGTCCTTTTAGGTTTTTTTTTTTTTTAATATAAACTGTGAAGATTAAATTCTTAGAAATAGAAACATTTATAAAATCAAGCTTCATGTCTGGTGTATTTTCTGCCCCACTTTATAACCCTGAAGCAGCACATTTCAGAAACAGCCCTAAAATGACTGCACAGACCTTGAGCCCAACACATGAATTTCCTCATGGTGCTGTATGTAGGCTAAAACTCCTGCATTCTCTGTCATACAACACACAGGTATCAAACACAAGGAATTTGGTTATTCTAAAGCTAGTCCAGTTCTATCTTCAGTGTTTTATTAATTGAAAATGACAAAACAAACAAGTCAATCCATAATTTCAATACTAAAGCAGAAATGAGTGATTTCAGGTCCCTGTTTTAAGTTAACCAGTTATTAGCACTACAAAATGGTTAGAAACAATTTCAGCATCCAGTAAATTAAAAATTCCACAATCATATTTAGCTGAAATCTCACATTTAGATATGTGAGACTGTATGTACATATATACATAGAATCACAGGATGGTTTGGGTTGGAAGGGACCTTAAAGCCCATCTCATTCCACCCCCTGCCATGGGCAGGGACACCTTCCACTAGCCCAGGTTGCTCCAAGCCCCATCCAACCCAGCCTTGGACTCTTCCAGGGGTGGGGAAGCCAAAACATGGATTTAAAAAGCCTAAATGATAAAGATTCCTCCTCTCCAAACAGAAACCATAACATTGTGACGTGTCTGGACTTTTAAAGCCTGCCAACTTCCCAAGGAGCAGAATAACCTCAGGTTATTACAATTAGTTTCATCTCATTAATAGATCAATTTCTTTCAAGCATAGTGAAACTGGATTTTACTTTGTTGCTTCTCCTTTTAGGCTCCATTATAGTCTGTGTTCTTAAGTTTTAAGGAGAGCCATCACTGAATAGGTTGTAATCTCAGGTGATTAATTGCCCAGCATTTTACAAGCTGTAAAATAGAGCTGAGATCTCCACAAAGCGATTATGCCATTAACCAGACGCTCTTATCAGCCTTTTCTACAACTACCAGGTTTGTCTGACAGATTGCAAGTCTTAAGTATTTATATATTTCAAAGGTTTACTTATTTTTGTTGTTAAAACCCCCTAAAATCTATATTGATTGTTACATGCAATTCCACACGAGAAGTCCCAAGCACCGTGGAGCAGAATACCAATATTTATTACCAGACTCGTGCTCATTATGGTTCTCTCTGACAGGGGTCCATTAAAATCAATTTTTATGTTTCTTATGTTTTTTTTTTTCCCCCACCCAATGTTCTTACCATGGTGTTTATTAGCCAGTTAGGAGAAACACCAGGCAACTGCTTCGTTTTTATTTTATTCTGTCGAAAATAATGAGGCCAGATTTAACAACTATGCACTAGCGATGAGTAGAAGAGATTAAATGTTATACTTCAGCACAAACATTTACAGATGGCTTTAAAATTTTTAGAACTTTATCAGTGCTAAAGACAAAAGGAAGTCCCACCTTTCTTTTTCAGATTTAAATTCTTAAACTAACCACAAAAATATTCTTCTTGCCTTTAACTTCTGAGTTACTCTTGAATAACAGTCCCTCTAATATGACAAATTTTGCATCTAAATCATGCAACCTGTGAAATTGTTATCAAGATGCCACTAATGCATCAAAATTAAGTCAGCTCACCACTGAGAAAACTGAAGATCAAGAACAGATAAAAATTAAAAAATTAGGAGTAGGATCCAGACTGTTCAACTTCTGTTTGAAGAACAAAATCATGAGAACCTTCAACCAACCAACATGGCCACGTTACAGGTGAGCAAACAGCAGATGTTCTGATAAATAAAGAGAGTATCCATCCCTAAGAAATCCCACAGACCTTTTTTCTACTGTTTTTCCACCACTCATTGATGCTTCCCCTTCTCGAGGGTGAAGATCCTCATCTGCTTGGTTGTTCTCCAGCTCTGCAGCAAAGGCAGGTTTGCTAAGTCTTATCTTAAATACATTTTATTTCTATTCCTCACCAGCAGAAATCCAGCACTGAAATCAGCATCTGAAGAAACTGAAGCCCTTCTTTCCATAGCACTGGAGTTGGCAAAACTTTCAAATCCAGAGGCTTGAGGGTTTTTGTATCACATGCAAAAACATACTTCAACCAGAACACACATTATGCTTTATATTCCTAATTAATTTTATACACTCTTCAGTTACAAGGAGAATAAAACAGAAAACCAGAAAAAGGAACACCATACAAATCAATGGGGGATTTTAGAACCAAAAGCAGGAGAAAAAAAAACCAATATTGAGAGAAGGAAGCCAAACTTGTTTGAGCCGTGTCAGTAGGAGAAAGCATTAATGTAACAGACTGTGGCAAAACTGCAAATTTATTACCAAAAAACAGATGAAGAGAGCAGACTTAAAGAAGTAGTATTAATAACTTTGATTTTGGCAGAGGAATTTGGCATAGAAATTTGGAATCTCGGTTTTTTTTGGCATCTAATTCTGAAATAATTCAATGTTCCTTCTAAAAATGCCACTGAGCATTTCCTCCAAATAAGGAAAAAGCAAGGACCTGACCAGGACAGATGGACTCCAGCAGATTGAACAGCACTTACATTAAACAATAAAATGCACCAGTGCCTCCTCAACCAGGCCTAGATTTGAGACATCACCTCCACTGCCATGTAGCATCTGTTTGGAACTCAAAAGGCATAACAGTTCTGAAAAGCCAACTAAAGCTCTCACAAGAACTACACACTAATTAAAACAATCATTCCCTCCTGGTTCTACATGCTGGAACATATATATATAATATATATAAAAAAAGATACATTTTATCTGCAAAATTTGTGAAGTCTGCAAGGAGGTTTTACTCCCCAGTGACAGATCTACACGTGTGTCAAAAATTAGGGGGGCAGGATGTTCTCTCAAAACCTACATTAAAAATACTTAAAATTTAGAATGTTTCCTTAATAATATTTTTGATGCAGCAGAGAAATGAATGTATTTTGGAGCCACAATTCCTTAAAGGCACTGGAAGTTCCTTCTGCCTCTCACAGGAGCCAGTACGGAGCTCCTAGAATGAGTGGCAAAAACAAGTGTGCAGAGTTGTGTCTTAGATTCTCTGGGCAATCTCATTCCTCTACAAATACATAAACACAGGATCAATAGGACATGAACTCACCCACTTGGCAGCATGCTCGTTTTGGGAAGTTTTATTTCATGTAAACCCGTTTCACACCCAGAGATCTCGATCTTTCCCACGGGGCTGAGCAGAACCGCGTGTTTCTCCTCGCACATTGAACCTCCAACTTTAGAATTCACCTGTTCAAGAAGACAAAATCCTCTTTAATTGCATGTATGTTCACCAAGGAACAGATATCTCAAGGTACTGAGTAGTTTTCAAAAGTAATTTTAAAAAAGCAAGAAAACAGTGAATTTCAAGTTTTCTCAAAAACGGCTTTACTTTCAAAACTCCAGCTTAAACTCATCCATCCTAAGAAGTCACAACCTAAATTAAAGTCTCAGAAAACATGTTAACTAGCAGAACAGTGATCTTCACAAAAATCTGAAACAGCAGCAGTTTCATGGCTGGTTTATCATGGCTGAAATCTGATGTGTTCTGACACTTATTTAAAACAGGATTATTGTGACAACAAAGTATATTTGGTGGTTTAGAGCAGCAGTGTTATGCAAATAACAGCTGGAACACAAATAGAATATGTCTGCTGGAAAAATATATGAAAAAAATCAATCATTCCTTAACAGAAGAAACATTTTTTTATTCCCATTGTTACCAGTCTGGTTTTACGATTACTGATAGGATGTAGTTGGAAACAGCTGCCAAGTATTTCTCAAATTGGACAAGACCAACAATAACATACTTGTCAAATTCATCTTGCCTAAAAAAAAACCACCCCAGTCTGAGTCAGTAAATGTTTGAGTTGTATTTACAGTTTGGTTTGTACAACCATTGCAGGAGGACAGGACAGGACACCACAAGTATGTCCAGTGCAGTCACCCAGACTCTGAACTGTCGGGCCGGACCCATCGCCATCAGTGCTGGGCAGCCAGGGAAAAATCCCTTTGCTCCAAAGAGCTGAATCCATGTGAAACTGGACAAAAAGTGAACAACCGTAGGGCAGCTTGATTAACAAACACAGAATAACAGACTCAAAGAACAGTTTGGGTTCGAAGGCACCTTAAACACCATCTATTGCCACACCTTCCACTACCCCAGGTTGCTCCAAACCCCACCCAACCTGGCCTTGGACACTTCCAGGGATGGGGCAGCCACAGCTTTTCTAGGCAACCTGTGCCGGGGCCTCTCCACCCTCACAGTCAAGAATTCCTTCCCAATATCCCATGTATCCCTGCCCTCTGGCAGTGGGAAGGCATTCCCTCTTGTCCTATCACTCCAGGCCCAGGTGCAGGACCTTGTGCTTGGCCTGCTGAACTGCAAGAAGTTCCCAGAGAAGCAGTGGCTGTCCCATCTCTGGAAGTGTCCAAGGCCAGGCTGGAGAGCACTTGGAGCAACCTGATCTAGTGGAAGGTGTCCCTGCACATGGCAAGGGGTGGAATGAGATGAGCTTTAAGGTCCCTTCCAACTCAAACCATTCTGGGATTCTAGGAATGACATACTTGGGGTGCACCGGGAGGCAGGAAAGTCTATGCATGATGACTTACAGCTGCCCACTGTTCACAGCTGGACAATAATTAGTTGTTTTCAAAACAAGAGAATAATTTAAAATCTCATTATTAAGTTCTGTGGAATGAAGTCACATCTGTGAGCAATATAATTAATCAGTGTGGGGAGAGCAGAAAAAACATCAAGTAGACAGCTTTGTCTACTAGGGCGAGAGTAAACTTAAACCTCTGATTTTGGGGAAGCTCTTATGCAACTCCTCAGTTACAGACATGCAGCAACCAGTACAAATCTACTCAGTTTGAAGAAGTCCTGCTTTAGGAACTGCAGGTTCCCTGTGGTTTCTTTACTGTGACTGTGATCCAAATCAGCTTTTTGCTAAATAATCAAATGTTTGGTGGTGTTGTAAAGCAACTCTCCTTTTCAACCAACTTCTTCCCTGTTCCTCCTTGAGGATGTGGGTGAACTTTTTGGAGCAGCACCTCCTTGTAGAAGTCAGTAAACAAGCAGTAAAAGTTAACATATGTGGAAAACCAGCATACATTCTTCATGTTTATTGGTGTGACAGCCCTGAACTAGATGCACTGAACCTCATACCACGTGCTCCATGAGTATAACAATTTTAGGATCAGAGGAAAGCTTTTCCATCACACAAAAACAGAGCATGCAGCAAGCAACAGAAAACCATAAATAATCCTATGCCTTCTCACCAAGTTGAACTAAGCTTTATAGATGAACCCTTGAGTGACCACAACTCATATTTTCAGTCTTGTTTATCATATCCATTGGACAGCAATATTTAAATGTTTATTTTTATATAGGAATGAAGCTGCATGACATATATGCACATCCATATACAACTGGGTTGGGAGCCTCCAGGATGAAGGTCACTGTATGGATGTACAACGCAAACTCCTCTGTCTAGATACTCATTTCACTACTTTAATTGGATATTAGGAAAAATTGCTTCACAGAAAGGGTTGTAAAGCATTGGAACAGGCTGCCCAGGGAAGTGGTGGAGTCCCCATCCCTGGCAGTGTTCAGAAGATGTGTGCATGTGGTACTTGGGGCCATGCTTGGTGGTGCTGACTGATGGTTGGACTTGGTGATCTCAGAGGACTTTTCCAACCATATCGATTCTGATTCTACTGAAATGAAGGGGTGAAAGAAGGCAAAACATCTTTCCAACTTCTGTGTCCCCCCTCAATGTGCACAGTGTTAAAATCCCACAGACAGGTTTCCACTCGGAAAATGTATATGCCCGTGGATGTGTTGGCACCCACAAGCATTCAGCCCTCAGGATATCAAAATTTGTCTTAAAACCAGGTTTGTCTGAAGGCTCTGGTCAGAGAGACCACACATGTCACTTTTTCATACATTTTTCCCTTCAGTATTATGGAACACTGAGTCCTTCCCATCAGGGAGGAGCCAGAACCCTATTTCTGATGGATCTCCCCTCTACAGGCTTTTCCATTTCCTTTACTCTGCTTTAACAGTATAAACCTACCACACCATATCACTGTTGTCTAAAAACAGATGCTTTAGCAGGTTTCTCATGCAACCTTGCTTCAATGCCAGGCCAGGATATAACCACATACTGGCTTCAAAAAATTAATTGTTAGAGGACCCCAAACAGCACCAATCACAGGGATTCTTAGTCCTTAAAGCTGGTGTTCTGGATGTGTTTATCCAAAAATATCACTGCCTGCAGGTAGTTCCCTTAGAGGTGTTGATACCCACCCCACCAGAGGTGTGACCAAGGGCCAACTTCTTCATTTCCTTCCCATTCTGCACAAATTCATCTAAAAACTCATTACTTCAGTGTCCTGACATTTGCATTGGCAAAGTGGTGCATGAGCTATGATTCTCAAGCCCCTGCTTTGATGATGCCATATCATATCAGTGACTTGCCAAAAAGCTATACCAGGAATTTGTGGAGTTTGAAAGGATGATCAATAAATGCCAGGGAAACTGCTGCTTCATCTTAGTTACAGGAAAGAAATACTACCCCTGAACTCTCTTAAATGTCCTTCTTTTGAGTATCACCATGTTCTCAAATCTGCTTGTTATTGATTCAAGTTTGGAATTAAGATTCAATGAAAGCCTGAAGTATCAGATTTAAATTTAAGAGAAAATCTTCTCAGGTTTGGGCAATTTCCTACTTCATTTCAGTCATCCTTCCTGATGCACTAAGTTCTACAACCTCCTCATAACAAAATCCTTATCAAATAACATCACTGGGAGCTGTCAAGGCACAAATCAACCAGGGACCATCATAAAAACACTGTTTAAAATATGTCTGAGTTGCAAAAAGCTTCTCCCACCCCACCCAGGGCTGCAGAGGTGACCAGTGAGGCTGCCCATGGTCCCTGGGCTGGCACACATCAGTCGGCCACCCATCCAAGATTTTCATGGAGTTATAGTTCTTTCTCCATCTCCTTAATAGCTTAAACCTTCCTGTATTTGTTTTACTGGTTTCTGCCTGTTTATTTAAAAGGAAACAATCCATTGTATGTTAAGAATATAGGAAAGACATTAATAGTGAAGGTAATGTATTTGTGAACATATACAGGAGGGTGGAGGGTAATATTCCAACCTCAGGCAGCCAGTCTTGGAGGAAAAAGCTATTTGTTAGTGTTTTAAGGCAAAGAAAGATTTAAGGACTGAGAATGAAACACAGGATCCATGCAATCAGAACAATCTAACAACCCACTCCTGTTAGTATCTTGATTACTCACTCATCTATATTTTCACCTTCCAAAAACTACTGCTTCAAGAGAACAAAGAATTTATGTACTACAAATAATTTCACTGCAGGGAGGAAGGAAGGGAAGAGTTATAAGGATGTTTCATACCCAAAAATACTTTAATATACTAGAATTTCAGTTACACTTTGCTATTTTGGAACAAAAGCTACAGAGAATGAGAAAGATTTAATTCTCAGTCTTTTTGCTTATTATTGCTTGATTTCTTTCCAAGTTAAAATAAAAACTTTTCTAAAAGCTGCTTCCTCCTCTTGAAAAAAGAGTCCAAAGATTTGGTGTGAACTCTAAAGTTGTACATGATTGTGGCTGCCCCATCCCTGGAAGTGACCAAGGCCATGTTGGACGGGGCTTGGAGCAACCTGGGCTAGTGGAAGGTGTCCCTGCCCATGGCAGGGGGTGGAACCGGATGGGCTTTAACCCAAACCATTCTGGAATTCCATGATCCACAAAAGTCTCTGAAGATTCAACATCTTAATCTGGACAGATGAAGCTGTCAGAAAGTTGTCCTGGTGTCAGGGCAGGGCTTCTCCTTGTCCAAAAAAACCCAAGGGAATGCTGCTGACCTGTGCAACCCACACTCACAGGGCAACCCAACCAACATCACTCATTACTTAATGGAAAAATAACAATTCCAGTACCATTACACTCACAGCACCCTTCAAACATATGGAAAACTGTTAGTCCAAGGAAAGCTGAGTGCCCCACAGTTTTTCACTTAAGGTAATAGTTACTGAGGAAGAAAAGGTGTTGCATTCATTGCTTAAATTCAACAAGAAAGTCTTGAAACAAAATCACCATTGTGGGAGCTAATCAGACTTAATTCTGTCAATATAACCTGCTAACAAGTAAAATAGCCTTTAAAATTACCTTTGATGTTCTAAAATACAAGTCCTTTACATACTGCAGCAGGTTCTTGTGAACTAGAGAACCACTCACCTGGCCATGAGCAACCTCTTCCCCATCCAGATCCCCCAAAAACTGTTCCTACTCTGACTATTTCTTCTTCCTACAGTATCCAAAGCCAACTTTCAGCTTTCCAGAACAAAGCACTGGAGACACAGGTTCGTGTATTTCTGTTCTTGCGCAAGAGCAATAAACACC